TTATCCCGAGGGAAATTCAAGCCGTGGATTAATATTTAGTGCATGAGTTAATGTAGTCTGTACATTTGTTACACAGTTACTAAACCTGGCTGCAAAGAAGACAGAGCAAACAAACACCATTGTGCCAGCCGTAATTAATGAGTTAATGACCGATAAACCTGCTATCTAAGCAGCTAGCTTACCCACAAAAAATAATGAGCAACGCACATCTGGCATTTTGCTGATACACATCTGTAATGTTGATGCACGTATGATCCGAACATGCACCTTCAGTACATCTTACTTGTATCCAATGTCTAATGTCTAGCCTGCCGTGATTGCTCGACAACCCTGTCTGAAATGAGCTAAAGAAGACTAGAACAAAAACCCCATTAAAAGGCAGGGTCCCCAGCAGACCGGCTAATATCAGCTAGCTCAGTAACAAAAGCGAAGCCAAGGTGGTTTGTTCCTGGCCGGCTAACGTTAGCTAACACTCTCGTTTCTCAGTAACGTGTCAAACATCTGACAACCATTAATTGCGGCCCACGTCCAAGTCTTACCGTACTTCCAAGATATTCTCTAATTTGCACATTATTTCTTGTTCGTCCGCCATGGCGCTGCCGTTCCTTGTCGTTCAGTTGTCCTGCTCGGTTACCCGTAGGGCCACGGTGCTCTCCTTGTTGATAAAAAAAAAAAAACACAATAGCCGTTGTGAGCGCGCACACGAGTACGCGCCCGCAACGTGAATACAGTGGCTGCGTTGTGACGAGTAGCGGGCACGAGCACCCAGGTGGTTTAGTGAACTGAAATATAAAGTAGCTACCTCTCCTTAAAGCAGCTTTACACGTAGATGGAAACAACTTCGCTCCGCATTAAATACACATTTAATAGTTTAAATTAGTGACTCGCTGCAGACGTCTGAACAGCGGAAGAAACAGGTGAAAGTAAAAGTGAAAAAGAGAAAACAGTTTGTCATATCGAGGAGCAAAATGGAGTACGTTTTTCTCTACGTATTACTATCAGGGCTGTGGCAAGTTGTGAAAGAAGTATTTAGATCAGATTACTTCAGTGAAAGTAGCAACGCCACAAGAAAGAAATATAGTAAAACAAATAGAAATCACATCAGTTCTACATTAAACATCAGAAAAATATACTCAGACTGTCAAAAGTAAAATGACTTTACTGTACTAAAAGTATTTTAATGTTGTAGCTGCAGATGGAGATATTTCTAAGTTGTTTACTATAGGGTAGTTTATTCCAAAACAGTGTATTGCATTTTAAAAGCTAATGTAACGACTTCTTTGCAAAATATGACTCTGTAAAGTGACAATATAAATATATAAAAAGTGGAATAAAAAGTCATATGCTCATATCTGAAACAGTGAAGTAGAAGTAGTATAAAATAGAAATACGTAAATAAGTTAAACACCTTGAAATTGAACACACAGTACTTGAATATATGTACTTAGTTATGCTCCAGCACTGTGCAGAGGTTATATCCAATATTTTTAGCAATTTGGAGACCTGAAGATAATTTACACTGTGATTAAGAGTTAAGTACAGTAAAACTCTCTTTAGACTTAGTGCCTTTAAGAAGAACAAAAAACAAATTCCACCCTGGGGATCAATAAAGTATTTCTGATTCTGATTCTGATTCTGAAAAATGGAAAAAAAATATACCAGTTCAACGATTTTTGTCATAAGGATTTATGTCCTGGTAAGGATAACAAAACATGTTACGACAATGAAATAAAATAAAAGTTATACCGCTTAATGAACTGAATAACACAAAAACATCAGCATTTTATAGCTCTGTTTTTCAGCCTGTCTAAATTAGCTGCAGGGCTCAGGGGTTCCTTGGACATAATACAGTAACCTCAGTGCCTCTAAAATCCTGGCTACGGCCCTGCTAGCTACCACAAAAACAACATAAGCAGTTAGCAAACAGTCTAACCAAACACACCACCACACCAACCCCAAAATCACTGTATGCCATAACAACATATGCTTAAAACATTAACTGGAGGGATTATTAGATTAGCAGAATGTGCTGGTGCTTTCACTGCTATTGGAACATCAGGTGCTGCTGAGTTACTGTTGATTTGTGTCCCTCTATAAATAGATTTGGGAGACAAAGATCCCGTCTATATCCTAGAGATGACTGACACACGGTAATATAATCAATTTAGAAGGAAAACTCCGCACAGAAGATGAAGGCTGCCTCTCTAAAACGCATGGGCCCCGGGCTGCCATTGGATTAAGCAAGAGAGAAGTTCTTGGGAACAATACAATGGTCCATTCTCATTCAGTATAATCCTTGTAGGTATTGCAAGCGGTTTCATATGACTCCACAGAGAAAAGGCTACTACAAGTACCTATCTGAAAAAAAATTACAAATGTCAACTGTAAGTAGCTACCTTTCATTTTCTATTCAATTTTTATTGTGTTTTATATTTTGTTGAAATGTTTAAATTGCCTCTGTAGTGGTTTTGAATTTGTTAACCTGTACTGTAATTGAAAGGCTACAAGAAGGCATTAGTATGTAGTAAACTTAAGAATTTGTAGACCAAAACCTACAATGATATCTGGCCCAGTTGCCAGATGTTTCTAATTTCACAGTA